ATTGTGCCAGGCATGTGCTGAGGGCTTGTCCTGCCGAGAAATGTCATAATGAACAGACAGGGTTCATGACCTCGGGAGCTCACAGAGCTCCAGGAAAGCCAGGTCTCAAGGCAGAGTCCCAAGGGCCACCTGGACACCTGGTCCACCTGCTTGGGTGGTGAGTAGGGAAGACGAGGCTACAGTGGCAACTTCAGGGCCCTGGATGCTGTCCACAGGCTAAGAAGAGAACACAGGCTCAGGGTCAGACAGACAGAGTGAAATCCTGGCCCCACTTGGGACAAGGCAGGCCACCTCCCCCAGGTTTCCCCATCTGTAAACAGTGATAGTTACACCAACTGAGCAACTTGCTGTGAGCTTAAGTGAGACAATGTGTGACAACAGCTCAGCCTGGTGCCTGGCGCACAGTGGGGACTCGAGCAATGCCAGTGCGGTGTCCTTCATCCTGCCGTGGCAGAGGGGGGCCAGGGACGATGTTCCGGGGCATCTTGGGCAAGAGGGCATCCCCGTCAAGAAAGCAGCTCCCCAGCTGCCTTTGGCAGAGGGGCACCCGAGACTCCTGCCACTGGGGCTGCACGCGGGTCCCAGAGGGCAATTTCCTCGCCGCCTCTCACATAAATATTATATGCAAGTATTTTTAAGTAATTTCATCATGAAAAGAAGCGATTTAACATAAGTATTACCCGGGATTCTTCATGAAATATGCATCAAGCAATTAGGTCTAAAAGCGAGAGGTGAGGCCCGCGCCCTGCTCGGCCGGCAGCTGCGGGCTGAGTGATGTTTTATTAAAGCCCTGTGGTTACGGGACGAGGTGGGGCCTGTTATTAGGCTGGCGCGCCGGGCGTGTTTGATGATCCGGGCGATGAGGAGGTGCTTTTTGTGATGATAATGAGCGATCTGAAGGCCGTGACAGCCCCGGCACCCCCAGCCTCAGAGCCTCACGAGACTCATCATCAGACAGGTCAGCCACCAGAGACGCCACCGATTGTGACTTCCGCAAGATGTCCTATCAAAGGAGACAGGGCCGGTGCAGGAGCTGGACAGGTGGTGGCAGCCTGTCTGAGCTCCCTGGGGACCACTGCCTCTCCCGAGGGAGGGTGGGGGGAGGAGGTGGCTGGAACGCAAGGGCCCTGGGTTCTGCTGGAGCCGAAGTCGTCCTTGTTGTGTGCTTCAGGCCAGAGCACACAACTGGTTTCTGAACTCGGTTTCCACCCAGGTGCCCGAGAGAGTGAGAGGAGATGGTCCCTAGGCCCAGGCCACTGTGGCTCCAGTGCCGCTGTCCGAGCGGCAGAGCATCCCTGTGCATGCTGGTTGTCTGGTGCACCCACGGTCCCCAGGAAGCATTAGCTTTTCCTCTTCCTGTGCTCTTCTGTGTAGAGCTGGGAGTCTGCAGCCACGTCTGGCGACTGTTTTTAAGTACTCAGCTGTGGTGAGGTGGCATCTCGTGGCAGCCCTGTGGCCAATCGGGACGCGTTGTGACAACACATCTCTTGGGTGTGTTTCGATGAGGCTTTGCCTGACCTTGGACAGGTTGTCTCGGAAAGAAAGTCTGCTCGCCTCTCAGAGCCTGCCGGCCCTATGGGATGGGCCAGGACCCGCCATCTGCCGGGCAGCGTTGGCGCCTTGGGGACCGTCTCTGCAGCGGGTGGTGGGCTCTGGGAAAGGCCTGCGGGCGGGGAAGCAGCAGCACCACTGCCCCCTGCTGTGTGGCCAGGGGGTCAGCCTCTTGCCCCGAACCTCCATGCTCAGCTCGCCGCCTGGCTCACAGGAAGTGCCCAGGGAACATCGGCCCTGAAGGCAGGTGCCCCGTGGGAGTAGGCCGGGGGCACAGGGACAGCCGTGGAGGGGGGTGTGGGTGCCTCCAGGACCCTTCCTGCAAGAAGCCCTCGCGGAGTAGGCAGGGATTGTGCTTACACTGAGAGAGTCCATGACCTGAGGCCCAGGAGCGCCCTCAGAGATTGTCCTGTTGGGGATGGGGACAGCCCCAGGGCACAGTGCTCGAGCCCAAGAGGACAGCCTCTCCTGCAGGGTCCCCACTGGGAGCGCCCGCTTTTGGCCTTTCGCCCTGGGTTGCCAGGGAACGGTCAGGCCACGGGCTGAGGCTGGCGTCACAGGGTCCGAGTTCTCTGCCGCCTTGGCACCGCCGGGCTCGGTTCTGACGCTCGGAAATACAAGCGCCAGGCAGTAGGCCTGGAGGGTCAGGAGGGAGTTCAGGAGGCCCCCTGCCTCGAACACACCCATGTCTGTTGAGGTGGGGCATCAGTGTCGCATCTCTAATACCCAGTGGCCATGTCAACCCCGTGGCTGGGACGGGCGCTTCTGCCTCCATTTCTGGCTGAGTCAGCGGTTGCCACCATCACAGCCACAGCCCTTGCTGGATGTTCTGACAGCGACCTGTGTGAAACTGTCCCATTAACCCTGTGAGTGGCTTTCCTTAATCTCCTTAAAAACTCAGTCAGCTCTCCCTGCAGCTCTGTGCCTGACTCACTCCGGACAGCTGCTGCGATCCTGTCTCACACCCCAGACACACCGAGTGGCCAGGTCATTAGGATCTCTGAACGCATAATGGTCTGGCCACTCGGTGTACTTCTCTTGAGTACCGCATTTGTTTTATATCAAAGATACTATAAACCGCGCACCTGCTCCGTTTTCCCCTTTGCACCGGCTGATATAGAAAGCTCAGGGCAAATAGGTGGCTGATCTCCAGCAAAAGTCTAGAATGCTTTTGGTACCCATGTGAGACACAAATACACTGAGGGGCCAGGTTATTATGCGTTCATAGGTCATCATAATCTGGCCCCTCAGTGTATGGGAGAGCATGGTCTGGCACTCAGCTCACAAAGGAGCATGATGGGCCCGAGGCCCTGCCCTCCCTGCCTGAGCCTGAACTCGCCTGCAGCTCCAGCCCCCTCGCTCCCCACATTCACCCCAAGCTGTGTTCACTCTTCCCCGTTTCCTTAGCCTGGTCCAAGCAGGGACGGCCCTCTGCAGGCCTGCAGAGGTCTGCGGTGTCTCCGGTGCGGTGGGCGGCGAGTCTCCGCTCAGAGGGGGCTGCGCGTCTTTCACTGCACGCACGCCATTCCCTCCCTAGCAGCCTCGGCCAGCGCGCCCCCTGCTTCTCCGCTGTGTCGAGGCAATTCTCCGGTGAAATGACCCTTCGCTGCGGAGCAGAACTTGCCACAGGCTCTGTAATTAGAACATTGTCAGCCTTAAAAAATCTTGATTTAAATTTCAGTTCTTTACAGGAATTATTCTCTCTTGAAACATAATTGCTCTCCAAACGATTTCCTTTAAGCCGAGGGTGACATCTCTAAATACGTTATTACGAGCAGATGTATTGCTCGGCGCCTGCACTTCATTAAGCATTTGCTCTGCCCATTTGAAAATGGTCCCAGAGTCCAAATTGATGCGTTAATAAGGACAGGCGCTCATGGAGAGGGGAGCCCAGTCCTGCCTGGGAGAGGTGTGCAAGCCCTCAGTGCCCCCGGGCCCGCAGCCAGAGCTGGAAGGGCCGGAGCTTTGAAAGGAAGCCTGTGTCCACACGGAACTCTGGCCTTGGTCTCCTGGACGCTGGATCCTGGTCACAAATTATCGGTGTCCAGACACAATAACTTGGAGGAGGCGGCAGGAGATCGGAGACCTCAGGGTCCACAGATGTGGCAGCAAAATCCTAAGGACCAGGCTTGGAACTGAGTGGGCAGGAAAAGAGTAAGCTGGGCACAGGCAGGTTGGTGGAGAGGGAGAGATCCGATGTGGCCGGGCCCTGGGTGGGAAGTGTGAGAGGCCCTCTCGGGCCAGGGGGGAGCAGCATGGCCTCCACAGTCCCTGAGCTGCACCCCACCCAGCATGCTGGCACAGCTGGCAGGCTGCCAGGGGCACAGGGCACAGGGCTATGCTCTGATCTCCAAGGACCCACCCACTACCCTTTGTAGCAGGCGCTGGGCATGGTGGACACAGACCTTACTTGGGAATTCTTAGGGATTCGGAAGGTGGATAAGTAATCTATAATATTAAAAGCAAAATATGCTCATTAGACTGGATGTCCTTCCAGGACGAAGCCTGAGCTGCAGCCGCTGTGGCTTTGAGAGAGGGAATCGGCAGCTGCGGCTGCGAAGGCCTGCTCTTGCACGAATTTCGTGCATCGGGCCTCTAGTTATAAGAAAGCAGGTGCAGATGGAGGCATGATCCTCCATCGTGTGCTGGTCCTCCATGCAGGCAGAGGACGGAGCTCTGCCTGTGGGAGCCTGGAAGACTTCCTGGCAGAGGAAACACTCGGGCTGGGCCTTGGAGAAGGAGGCAGGGTTTGCTGAGCAGAGGGAGGAAGAGGGGAGAGTGCCTGCCCTGGGGCAGCCTGAGAAAGATCAAATGTCCCCTTATCCCATTGGCTAAAACTAATCACATGGTACAGTGGCTGCAGGGAAGCTGGGAAATGTACTCTCAGCTGGACAGTCCCTTCCCAGTGACAGTTCCATACTGTATTGAATGACACAAAGCAGACCCCTCTGCCCCACCTACTGCCTGTCATCCCTGCCCACTCTGTCCTCGTCTGAAAACCGGGAGTGATGACTCCTTCCTGCCCACTTGTGAGGGCATCAGAGATTCACACTTTGCATCTTCCAGGCCAGGCTTCGATACATGACTGCATGAGGGACAGGAAGACTGAGGTCTTGAGGTGGGAAGACTCCCCTGCAGGGTGTCTGCTGCTGGTTCCCAGTTTGATGCTGGGACTAGGGGAGGTCCCCTAGGCGCAGCTGCATTGGGTCCTGACTCGGAGAGGTACTTCCTGGCTGGGATCCCAGCAAGGGGCCTTTGCGCCTTAACAGGAATTTACAGAGGGGTAGCTCCCCAGGTCATGAGTGTGAATACGTGGCATGTGCTTGTTCGCAGCAAAATCTCGAGTGGCTCTCGGAGAAATTGCTTTTCTGGCCCTCAGCCCTCCTGCACCTGCCCCCAGGGCCTTTGTCATCCTGCAGATCCTGACACCCTCTGTGTTCTGTTCGCAGGAGCAACCAGGGCTTTATGCACATGAAACTGGCCAAAACCAAAGAGAAGTACATCCTGGGTCAGAACAGCCCGCCGTTCGACAGCGTCCCGGAAGTCATCCATTACTACACCACCAGGAAGCTGCCCATCAAAGGCGCCGAGCACTTGTCCCTCCTCTACCCAGTGGCCGTGCGGACCCTGTGAGCGGGGCCCTGTGAGCGGGACCCTGCGAGAGGACCGGCCTCGCCCCGCGCCCGCCCGCCCGCCCACGGGGCCGGACCCGGAGGAGCCAGCGCCCCCGCCCACCGGCGTGTCCCGTTCGTGTCGTGTGTATGGTACTAGCACACCACTGCATGTCTCTAGAATGCTGTTGCCACTGAGGGGGCTGGGAAAGGCCTGGATAAAGACAAGAGGGACGGCCAGCAAGCCACCCCAGCCCCCACCCACCCACCCCCTTCCTCCTTGAGTTTCTGTGAATTAAAATATTTGCAAATCCAAAGAGCCGCCTTGCAGGATGAACAAAGGCCAGCAGCTTTGTTCTTGGCGTCAGGAATTCACACCTGTGCGGGGAGCTCGGTTTTTCCCACCGGCCCCCCTGCGGTGGGAGCCCAGTGCTGGTGCTGGGAGAGCCGGAAGGCCTGGAGTCCCGCCTCCCCTCCCCTGGTGTGTGCGTGTCTGTGTGTGTGTGTGTGTGTGTGTGCGCGCGCGCGCGCACACACCCGTCACACACAGATGTGAGAAGCCCACTGATCCACTTTATCACTCGGTGTAATCATTAGATCTTCAAGGAATCATTGTGCGGTGAAAAAGAGGATTCAATTATTTATGACTAGGGTGTGTAAATAAAATAGTCATTTAATATGTACTCTGACGTCCCTTTTTCTATGCACCTCGGAGGGTGGCTCAGCCCAGGTGTGCCGCCCGCGCATGCGCGGTGGGAGGGAGGAAGTGGAGCCCACGCCAGGGCTGCGGCAGTGGGTGGGGCAGAGGGGTTTGCTTTGCCCCGTGAGAGCCAACTTGCAGGAAGGTGCAGCCAGATCTGCGTTCAGGCTCCAGCGTGGTCACTTTAAATGCTGACCCATAACAAGACTCTCCCCATTGTTTGTCCTGGCAACCCTGTGAGGCATTGAGCATGGGGGAAGGGAGGCCCAGAGAGGGATAGGAACTCGCCCAAGGCCCCACAGCCCATACGCTGTGTGAGGAGGCTCTGGAGCCCAGACTGGCCGGCTCCACGGCCAGGGCTTTGGGTCTACGTGGCCTCGCTGTCATCCCGCTCCTGGGAGACTGGGAATCCGGATCTGCTGGGACATGAGCCCTGCTGGTCACCCACTCTGTTTTCACACCGAAAACAGTCCCACACAGCCCGCCGGTGTGGCTCAGGAGAGTGTCAGCCCGGGAACCGGGAGGTCAGGGTTCGATTCCTGATCAGGCTCAGTCCCCAGTGTGTGGCGTGCAGGAGGCAGCTGATCAATGATTCGCTCTCATTATTGACGTTTCTCTCTCTCTCCCTCTCCCTTTCTCTCTGACATCAATAAAAATATGAAGATAAATAAATTGTTTAAGAAAAACACACTCCCACACAGACTCCCCCCTATCTCGTCCCAGTCCTTGCGGGGAGCAGGGATTCTCCCCACAGGCTGGGGGCAGACCAGGCTGCTGTTACTCAGCCCTTCCTTTCCTGCTTCCTCTCCGCCAAAACTGGTTTGGCTCAGTGGATAGAGCGTTGGTCTGTGGACTAAAAGGTCCCAGGTTCGATTCCGGTCGAGGGCATGTACCTTGGTTGCAGGCACATTCCCAGTAGGAGGCTTGCAAGAGGCAGCTGGTCGATGTTTCTCTCTCATCGATGTTCCTAACTCTATCCCTCTCCCTTCTCTGTGGAAAATGAATAAGATATATTTTAAAAAGAAATAGAAGAATTCCAGCCTCAGCGCCTCCACTAGGTGCCCCTGTCCCACCTGCCCCGCTGGCCGGGGGGAATGGAAGTTCGGCGATGTCCCTGCAGGTGGGGCGGAGTTCCAGCAGCATCACCAGCAGGTCTCAGCATCCAGCTCCGCCAGGGCTCCGGAGGTGCCTCGGGCTCGCTGTTCGGATGTGGAGACGGCCCCGAGAAGGACAAGGACCTGCTGCTACCCGTTGAGCCGGGCAGAGCGGGCTAAGCAGCATGGCTGTGAGTGCTGCCGTGGATTCCAGTGGTTTGTGACCAAAGCCTAAGGTGACCGGCGGGACGGTCCCGATTTTTAACAATTTGTCCCGCATCAAATAGTTAAAAATCGGAACGTCTGGTCACCTTACCAAAGCCGTGACCTTAGAGACCCGTCTCGATGCCCAGTCCAGCTCTTGGGTCACCCTCCCGGGGGCTGCCCATCAGTCTAGGTGGCCTCCAGCCACAGACCCATCCACCTTGTGGTCAGCACATTGGCTGTGGCCGGAGGCTGGTCTCCAAAGACTCAGCCTCGACCTTTCGCCTGTTTTATTTTCTGAAACATCCTTTGAGGTAAGAAAGTACCTGGCGTGATTCTCGCTTTCCGTGTGCGTGTGCGTGTGTGTGTGTGTGTGTGTGTGTGTCAGAAGGAGAAAAGGAGTTGGCACGTGGTGGCCACACAGAAGCACCAAAGGAGACGGGATCCTTGGGATCGGGGTAGAGATTGGGGGCCTCAGAGGCAGTCTCAGTCTCTGGGGCATTTCCTGAGGCCGCAGAGCTGAGCAGCGCTGGGGGCCCTGGTCCTTCTGGAGAGACAGTCCTCCAGGTTCCTCCAGGGGAAGGCTGTGCCTGTGGGCTGAGGCGAAGGAGGCCTTCCCTCCGGCCTTTGCTCTTTTGAAGGGATTCCTAGCCCTTCCTCCTCCCCTGCCCCCACTTCCTCAAGCCCCCAGGGAGGCCCCTCGGGGACCGAGGCCAGAGGAGCCCACTCACAGGATGGGAGCAGCTGAAAGGAATTTTTTTCCCTTAATTTTATGAACCTCTCCCTCTTCTTCCTCTCATTGTGGCCGTTTCCTCTGTCAGCGTGGATTCATGTTTTCTTGGACATCCAACAATGGAAACGGCTTTTCCCTTTCAGAAACACTCATACTCAGGCTACTGGCGTTAGCTCGGGTTTTGTTTTGGCTTTTGTTGTTTTTTTCATCTGCTGCCAATTAATGGGGGGGAATGAGCTGGGCTTCTTTGAGGGGAAAATAAAGCTCCTGCCACACAATGTCTGGCCCTCAGCGTTCTGTCAGAACACAACCTCCAGCCACTCGCAGGCCTCGTTGCTCGGAGCTACGGGACTTGTTTTTTTCTTTCCCTTTTTGCCCGCTTCATTATCGACCATAATGACCCGACCACTTCAACGCCTGTGTCCTTGAGCGCCCAGGAGTCAGGGGCCTTTCGCCCCCTCCCCCAAGATGGCAGCCACAGGAAGAGAGGAGGCTGGAGGAGCGGGGGGGGGGGGGAGAGGGCCCACCTGCCTGGGAATAACCACAGATGGGCCTCCCTTCTAGGGAGAGGGAAGCGGTGAGATGACGGCTCCTCCCAGGGCCTCTGTGTGAGCTGTGAGCACTCTCGGCCTCAGTGTGAGCTGTGAGCACTCTTGGCCACACTGTGAGCTGTGATCACTCTCGGCCACAGTGTGAGCTGTGAGCACTCTGAGCCTCAGTGTGAGCTGTGAGCACTCTCAGCAGTCGTCAGCATTCACAAGGGGAGCCCTGGGCCTAAATCTGCTTCTACTGCAGTGACCGGCCATAGAGTCTTGCTTTAAGACTTGGAGCACCGCCGAAACCGGTATAGCTCAATAGATAAGAGTGTCGGCCTGCGGACTGAAAGGTCGCGGGTTCGATTCCACTCAAGGGCATGTACCTTGGTTGCGGGTAAGTAAGGGGTGTGCAAGAGGCAGCTGATCAATGTCTCTCATCGATGTTTCTAACTCTCTCTCTCCCTCCCTGTAAAAAATCAATAAAATATATTAAAATTGAAATAAAATAAAAAAGCTTGGAGCACCGGGCTCTGGCTGGTGTCATTTGACCGGGGGCCTCCAGGGACAGACGGCCTGGCTGGACCCCAGGGACACGGTGCAGACGCCCGCAGGCAGACGGGGGGCAGCCTGGCCTTTGGAATTGGGCCGTGCAGAGTCCTGGCTGGACCCAGTGAACTGCCACACCTCTCTCCTCACCTTCCACTCTGTTGCCAGCAAAGACCAAAGGGGCATGTGGTTCCGAGGCAGCAGCCTGGCCCAGAGCCTTTGATGATGGAGCGTCTTCCAGAACCCCACTCAGGCGCCCTCCGACAAGACAGGCCGTGGCCCTGGCCCCACCCCTCTCCTCAGGGTCGTGTCCCCACCAGGAGACGTGCCTGCCACCCACGGCGGCAGAGGCGCCCTGTGACGTGCTAATTCCGCAGGAGGAACTGGGTAAGGATGTCTAGCGCCCGTGAACCTTTTCATAGACAAGCGTCTTGCTTAGGTGCACCTCACTGAGCACACTTTTTATTTCTTAAAAATGCCATCGTGTTCCCAGGAATCCAGGGTGGTCGCTTTCTGCTGGTGGAGGTGGGGGTTCTGCCGTCATCCCCCAAAGGTGGGTAGTTACAGGGGGACAAGGAACCCTCCAGCTTCCTACTTAGGAGAAAAACAGAGTCTTAATGAGCTCGTTAAGTGAAAATGAATTAACCTGTTCAGCAAACATTTGCTAAGTGCCCGCTGGTCCTCAGGCCTGGGTGGATACAGAGGAGAGTGGGACCCCAGCTCTACCCTCTGGAAGTCTCCACCGAGGGGAAAACGGACAGCCGCTGCTGGTGACAGAGAGGCCCCCGTGCTGAGGAGCCCTGAGCAAGAGGGAATGCATCTGCTTGTCGCCGTCAGCAACATGGGGCCCGAGCCAGGAAGCAATTCTTGGTGTCCCTGAAGATTTGGGGAGATGCGTGACTGGCTGCTTGCCCTCACAGCATCCCCATTACCCGAGGCTGGGAAGCCTGAGGCGTGAGCACCTGAAGATGCACTGGGCCCCTGGAAAGCAGGGAAGCCCAACCCCACCTTGCCCCGAAGGAACTCACTGCCTCTCCGTCCCTCCCTCCCAAGGAGGT